TCCATATCTAACTTACTGGATTGTTTTTTTTAAAGGGTGTGTCTGATATCAGCAGATTTAATTTTCCTAGGAATAAGGGCTCGGGGCATCCAGACACTTATCTAGGGACTTGGGGTCCTTCCATACACTCGCTTGTTTTGAAGTCTCCGCTGCCCTGCGGCACAGGGAGCCGGGAGCTCGATTCACGGCTGGACCTGGGACCGCCTCCTCGTCTCCCAGCTGTCTTCTCTCTGGCTGGAGCGACTGTTCAAACTCTTCATTTTACACAGATGAGGAAATGGTTCATACAGGGTGTTCAATGTGAAGCAACTATGCAGGAATTTCAAATTTAATTTTACACCAAAATAAAGCATATCTTAATTCCATTTTCCGTGAAATTTTAAAAAAGTCTATCAGCTATTTAATTAGGTTCTTGGCAAGACATTTAAAACACTAACTTGTGAGGGTAACCCTACTTGTAAGGGCAAACAGATCGCAGGTAGCCCTGGAGTTGAGGAACAAGCTTTGATTTTTGAGTAAAATTCTGGAGCCCACAGCTCTCTGATCAACCCTGCACTTTTCTGAATTCTCATATTTCTCCTCTGTGTCGAAGATTTCACCTTCCCGGTGTCTGGGCTTCCGCAGTTTCTTTTTCTTGAAGTAAGCATCGGTCAGGTGCGCTGGGATTTTTACTTTGTTAATATCAATCTTTGTGGAGGTGGCGATGACACTTTTCTGGTGTGTTCTATGCAGTGGAACTCGATTGAGGACCAGAAGGCCAGTCACAAGTTGCAAGCCACTGCTCGGCTGCTCAGGAAATCCACTCTCTTGCTCTGTGGGTCCAGTGAGGATGGTCGGAATGGTCCCAGGAGTGATGCTGGCCCGCAGCTCTCTCACATGCTGACTGAAGGCCTTTTGGCGGTGGCTCAACAGCTTTCAAGGGGATAATACCTAGGCATTTTGCAGTTTAACCACCTGGGTACCACCATTCTTGTCTCCACCAACTGGTTTTGTGACAGTCGCAAGAACCTTCTTTTTCTTTTCAATCCTGGATTTAGTGGCCGAGTGTCTCCTCTTGTATGGGGCCTTCCTGGAATCCATGGCAGACCGGGAGTATCTGCCAATGCCCGGACTAGGACCGGGTTAGGGCTGCAATGGGGCTTCCCCTTCTTGGGCCTTGGGGTCACCTTGACATTGGCCTTAGCCCTCTTGGCTTCAGGTTTCTCCTCCTTAGTATCCTGCTTCTCTGCTTTCCACCCACTGATTTATAAAATGGGAAACAGTTCAGGAACTTTGGAAATCCCCTTATGTATAAAAATGTGGCCGGGCTGGCCTCATACCTGGTGGTTAGGGGAACCGGATTCCATATGACTGGCTGTGCGTTTGGAATCCCAGGCCAGGCAGCTTGAAAATCATGGGAGACGCATGCGCATGCGTTCTCCAAACCCAGACCCTGACCTGGTGAGGACCAGAGGAGAAGGGATTGTGGTGTGATGGGCCACACGGGGGTGCTTTTTCTCACCTCACCTCTCTCCCATTCCCTCTCTGTCTGGTAAATGTATGTACCCTCTGGCACATTAAAGAAAAAAAAAAAGAGGCCAAAATTTAAGAAAAAGAATAAAATAAAAGGGGGTAATCTTAGGTAGTAATACATTTTCCTTTGTTTTCGGTTTTGCCATAGGGAACACACAGTCCCTGTAGAGAGAGACAGAGCGAGGGAAAGTGAGAAATCACCCCCTAGGGGAATGGCCATGCTCCGATCCCTTCTCTCCCGCTCTGCCCTCAGGATTTGGGGCACACAGGCACACAAGCCCGGTATTCCAGCCACTGGGTCTGGTACTCGAACCACAGTCGACCATGTGGGAGTCCAGCACATCCCGGTGTTGGGGGGTGATTTCTCACTTTCTCCCTGTCTCTCTGCTGAGTGCATGCACCTTGTAGCAAAAATCTAAATAAATAAATAAATAAAATGATCTCATCTACAAAAATAGCTTTTAAATTTATATAGTGATTTTTTTTTTTCCGGAGAGGTTTTCACTATAGGGCGCGTGCGCTCGCCAGACAGACAGAGACAGAGAGACAGAAAGCGAGAAATCAGCCCCAGGGGGGTCGGCCACGCTGCAATCCCTTCTCCTTCGTTCTCCTCTTGGGATTTTAGGCACGCACACACACGCGCCCGGCGTGAGTTTAAGGCACCGGGTCCAGGACTTGAACCACGGTTGACTACGTGAGAGTCCAGCGACATAGCCATTACGCTAACTGCTGGTCCCAAATTTATATAGTGATGTTAAACCTTCTCGTGACTATTGGCATAGCTTCCAAATCGTAAAGTCAAGTAAGCCGAAATCAGCCAATGAGAAAAAAGAATCTGTTTCATGATTTTTAGGCAAAAAAACCCCATTGAATATAGTTTTATTTTTCCATCTGGGTCCAAAACAGACTTTCCTTTGATAAATCCTGGCTATTTTGACTATATTTCTTTAGGTTGGGCCTTTAGTGTTTGAGTTTAGTTGAGCGAGTACCATTTTCTGTGGAAGGACTTGCACATCGTTAGACGAGTTGGTCTGGTGTGTGTTCCAGAGATAATGACCCCGTCCCGGCTGGGACTCTCATGTCCAGAGGCCGGCTCTGACCTCAAGCTCACTGGCTTCTCTGTCCTCACTGCTTTTCTGGTTAGATCGGTGCTGACTTCTAGGACCACGATCTGATGTGTATTGCATTTACCTATGTACCAGGCATGAAGCAAAAGGCTTTGAGGTCTCCCTTTATCCTTAGTAACTGCAGGGTGGGTGCCGTGCTGACTTTGTCTTGCAGGTAATGGGGCCAGGGCTTAAGAGGGGTTAAGCAGTTCACTCTCTCAGGACTAGGAAGTAGTGGCCTTGGTGGGTCTGGCTTCTCAGCTCGAGTCCCCGCACAGCAGGCTGGGCAGCACCAGCTTCTTGGGTAGTCCTTCGATGCCTGAACTTGTAGGGTTCATTTTTGTTTTAATTTTATTTTGATTTTTGCCATAGGGTGTGTGTATTTTCTGGAGAGAGAGACAGAGACACACACAGAGAGAGAGATCACCTCTCAGCAGCATGGCCACACTACAATCCCTTCTCCATTTTCCTGGGATTTTGGGCATGTGTGCTCACACGCCCGGCGTTGTTTCCTAAGCCATCAGGCCTGGGGCTTGAACTGCAGCGTTGACCGAGTGGGATGCAGTGCCTTGACCTCCATGCCTCCTGCGGGCCCAGGGTCCATCTTTCAGACCTTGGCAGAGCTGGGCTGGAACTTTGCCTCTGCCCCTCTGCGCTCTGGGCCCTTGGGCGACCTGAACTGTCCCAACCTCTCCGTCCGTGGGCGTGGTGTGGCTTTCACTCCAGCACCCAGGGTAGGAAGACTGCGGTCGCTTTCTCTCTTACGTAGAGCGCGGCCTGACTTTTTCTCAGGGTAATTTTTAGTCCATGGAGTTGCGTTTTCTTCTGGAATGTGGAGCTTGGCATGCCCCAGTGGACCTGCTGTTGCCACCTCCTTACCCACTGCCCGCCTGGGTCTTGGGGTTATTTCTGGAGGCCGCTGGGCGTGTTGGTGGCCTTCTTCTCAAGCAAGTCATGGGGTTGGTGCTGGCTGGCCTTTCGGGATTTCAGGGAGTCTAATAACTAGTGTAGCTCTTTCCTGTCCCTGTCCACGCTCAAGAGTGGGGAGATCGGGACCAGCAGTTGGCGTAATAGCTATGTCGCTGGACTCCCATGTAGTCGACCGCTGTTCGAGTCCCAGACCCGGTGGCTTAAACTCATGCCGGGCACGTGTGCATGCGTGCCCAAGATCCCAAGAGGAGAATGGAGGAGACAGGATTGCGGTTTGGTCATCCCCCCTGGGGGGTGATTTCTCGCTTTCTGTCTCTCTGTCTCTCTCTGTCTCTCTGGTGAGCGCACACGCCCTATAGCAAAAAACCTCTCCAAAAAATAAATAAATAAAAATAAAATAAAATAGACCGGGAAGATTGACAGGTGTTGGGCAGCTGGACACCCGGATGTCGCCTCTACTGTCCACACAGCCAAGGTGGGAGTCAGAGCGGCCCTAACCCAGAGGGAGGAGTGGGGTGAGTTGGGGAAGGGAAGCTCCCACAGAGGCAGGCATCAAGGGAGGAAGAAGAGGCACTGGGACATCTCCCTAGAGGGTGAGGACTTTGGAACAGCCTGTGGGTAGACAGCACCCCAATAGGGTCTTGACACAGCTGTCCCCCAGTTGCAGTGCTTCCCCGGAGCTGCAGCCGCGCCCCCAGCTGGAGCGTCCTGGGCTGTGGTGCGCATGCGCAGTGTCCTCAGGGTGGTCTGTGGTTTCCACCTTCCAGAATAATGGGACCCGGGAGAGGAGCTGCGGGAGGCCGGGAAGCTTCCCATTGGCAGCAGGATTAAAACCCAGATGTTGGCGCCTGCGAGACCCAGGGGCTGCGTGTCGGGGAGAGAGTGGGAAAACGGTGTTTTGGAAAGTCTGGTTCAGTGTTGGAAACGCGGCACGGGTTCCCTCTAGGAGCGGCTCCCTTAAACGCTTTTGGTCACTTTGCTTTAAAACGTCACGGCCCGCGATAGATGTTTGGTGTGCGTGTGTTTTATGCCTTTACATCGTTTTTATATCTCTTTTTTTTTTCTTTTTCTGTTTTCCTTATATGGCTTTTGATATGGTGTTCAACTCGATGGATTTGTGGGTTTTGATTCTCAAGGCAAAGGAAATTCATCATACCACGTTTAACAACAGCCGGAAATATGACCTGGGAAAGTTGATGTGATGCATATTCTTTGTGCCAAAGTTTACTTATTTATTTACTGGGAGAGACAGACAGCACCCCACAGGGTCGGGATGCAGCGGTCTCCTGCAGCCGCAGCCACCCGTCCTGGGCAGGCACAGGTGGTGTAGCCAGGGCTGTCTGTACCACTCAGACTCAGCCTTGCAGACTCCCGCGATGAGCCTTAACTCAGCATCCGGATTTCCAATCTGCAACAACAACTAATCTCTTGTTTTCTTCTTCCTTTTTTAAGCTTCTCGGACAAATTATTCAGTGGAAAAGGCTTACATTTTCAGCCATCCGTTTTAGATTTTGGAATACAGTAAGTATCTTTTCTTTATAATTAAAAACACCCCTCATTTTATTGTGTTATTTACTTTCACGATGTTTGTGTGTGTGTGTGTGTGTGTCTGTGTACACACAGAGTATCCCTAATCTGAAAATTCCAAATCCAAGTGCCCCCAAATCCCAAACTTTTTGAGCACTGGCATTCAGCAAGTGGAAGATCACACACCTACCCCATGGCATGGGCTGCAGACAAAAAATGCTGAGTAAAGCGAGCACTTCAGGATGTGTGAAGAGCTGTGTAGGAAACATAAGTGAATTCTGCATTCCGGCTTGAGTTCTATCCTCAAAAAGTCTCGTTATGTAAATGCCAGTATTCTAAAATCCAAAATTCAACACGCTTCCGATTTTAAGCATTTCAGATAAGGGATACCCAACCTGTATATGTGCAATGTTACATGTTAAATGCATTAGTCAAATGAAGGGATACTGATCCTAGAACTTGTTCAAAGGAATGTTTTGGGGAAGAGAAGCGTGTAAGAATTGTTTTAGTGCTTTTCAAGTTTTAAATAAATGTACCTGGCAATATTTTATAGTGATTATAATTTAATAAGAAGTCATTGTCAAATCTCTGCTTTTCCAAAGCACATCGGGTTATTTTATAGTTGAAAACATCCTTGAATATGAATAATCACTGAGAAGTTAGATGCATTTACTCATTTCTTTCTATTTCTTGCTGTGTCATTTGGATTTTGAAATTTTACTGTATACACTGTTGCCACGATTAAGACTTGGGAAACTCACGAGGAGTGAGGAAGACAGTGCACAGGCCATAATGGCCACCCTATGCCATGCTAGGAGCTTTGAAGTGGGCCAGCAGGTGGCATGGTGGTTAAGGCACTGGACTCCCACATGGCTGACCACAGTTCGAGCCGTGGACCTGGCGGCTTGCTTTCTCACTTCCTCTCTCTCTCTCTGTCTGTCTCTTTCTCTCTCTGATGAGTGTGTGTGCCCTGTAGCAAATTAGAAAATAATAATAATGATAAATAAAATTGGATAAATAATTACAAAATAAAAAAAGAACCCTGAAGTGGATGGAGTGGGACCTGAGGTCTGGTTGAGGGCCCGATCTGAGAACCCGGAGGGATTAAATGAGAGTGCAGGGCTCCTGTGGAGTAAAGTTCGGAAGCCGAGTGTTCGCCCCCTGAGTGAGACCGGAAGTCCTCCGGGAAGGACCTCACGCGGAGTCACAGCGTTCCAGGTGTGAAAGCCTGCCTCGCTCGGCGGTGCAGATCCGTCACTTCAGTTCCAGAAGAGCCTCTGTGAGTCCCAGGCAGAGTGGTGCGAGTGGAGTCACCATGGAGACAGAAAAGTACCCGGGGCAGGTCGGTGGCCGCCATCTTTCCATTTCCTTGTGATGATCATCAGTTAAAGAGAATGAACCTGAAATTTAAAATTGTCTTGGTGAGCTTTTTGGTTTTGTTTTATTTTCCACGTACTTGCTGGAGAGAGACAGAGAGACAGTGAGAGGGAAAGTGAGAAGTCACCCCCTGGGGGGATGGGCACACTGCAATCTCTTCTCCTCATTCTCTTTCTGGGATTTTTTTTGTATGCATGTACACACACCCAGCGTGATTTTTTTTCTTTTTTTAAGAGAGATTTTTGTTATAGGTCCCGCGGGCTCCCTGGAGAGGCAGAACGACAGAAAGTGAGAAATCACCCCACCAGGGGGGTGGCCACACCACAGTCCCCTCGTCATTCTCCTTTTGAGATCTTGGGCACTTAACACATATATGCGCTTAGTGTGTTTTCAAACTACCACGCCCGGGACTCGAACCATAGTCAGCCATGTGCGAGTTCAGTGACATAACAGATACATCATCTATGGGTCCTTTGGCATGATTTTTAAGTTGCTGGGTCCAGGACTCAAACCTCAGTTGGGCATATGGGAGTCCAATGCCTTGACCACTACACCACCTACTGGCCCCATCTTGGTGAGCTTTTTAATGGAGATTTTGTAAAAGAGAGAAAACCGTGATGGGAATTTGCTAACTTCACAATCCCAAGATTCCAGATTCTTCTTGCCCCCCCCCCATTTTAGCTGAATTTATAGTAACCTCACTGATTTCAAATTGTGAAGTCTTTATTATAAAAAGAAAATTTAACGCAAGACCTACTTTATTTTTTCAAGAATTATTTAATTATTATTAAGAGACTTTTGCCGTAGGAAGTGTGTGCTCACCAAAGAAAAAGACAGAAAGTAAGAAATCACCCCCACCCCTCACCCCTTCCCGGAGGATGGCCATGCTGCAATCTCTTCTCCTTCATTCTCCTCTCAGGATTTTGGGCATGCCAACATATGTGCCCCAGCATGAGTTTTAAGCCACCAGTCCAGGATTAAACTGTGATCGACCATGTGGGAGTCCAAAACCATAACCACTATAGCACTTGCTGGTCCCTATTACTATTAATTTTCTGTAGGGCACATGCACTCACCAGAGAGAGACAGAGAGAGAAGGGAAGAGAAAAAGCCAGCCGCCGTTTCCAGGGCTCAAACCGCTTTCGCCCGCTGGGCGCATGTGCGTGCGTGCCCAAGGTCCTGAGAGGAGAATGGAGGAGAAGGGATTGTAGCGTTGCCATTCCCCCTGGGTGTGTGTGTGTATGTATGACTTCTTGCTTCCTGTCTCTCTGTCTCTGTCTCTCCAGCAAGTGCACATGCCCTATAGCAAAAAATCTCTTTTTTTTTTTTTTGAAGCAAAAAATCTCTTAAAAAACCCTGAAATGCTCCAAAATCTAAAACTTTCCGAGCACTAGCATGATGTCACAAGTGAAATATTCCACGCCTGACCTCGTGGGACCTGTTGCAGTCAAGACACTGAAATAGAACAATACCATATAAAATTACCTATAGGCCACATGTAGACGGAGTGTATACGAATGTCATGTTTACATTTGTACCCTATCCATCTTCTTACACGTGTGCAAATATTCTAAAATCTGAAGAAATGAAAGATCCACGATATTTCTGGTTCCAAGCATTTGGGATAAGGGATGGTCCTAGTGTAGTAACATAAAAATCCGATAGTCAGTGCATGTGGGTGACTATGGATTAGGTACAGATGTTAATTAACGGCCTGCTTTAACTCTGTTCCTGGGAGCTGGACGTATATTTAAAGAATGTTTAACTTCACAGGACCAGCAGTTAGCGTAATGGCTGGGTCGCTGGACTCCCCCGTAGTCGACCGCGGTACAAGTCCCAGACCCGGTGGCTTAAACTCACGCAGGGCGCATGTGCGTGCCTGCCCAAGATCCCGAGAGGAGAATGGAGGAGAAGGGATTGTGGCGTGGCCATCCCCCCTGGGGGGTGATTTCTCGCTTTCTGTCTCTCTGTCTTTCTCTGTCTGTCTGGCGAGTGCACGCGCCCTAAAGCAAAAACCTATCCAAAAAAAAAAAAAAGGAAGAAAGAAAGAAAGAAAGAAAAAAATGTTTAAGGTCAGGTCCAGCCGGTGGTGTGCGGTTACTGTGGCTCCACCCACAAGGCTAACTTTGCAGTTTGAGTCCCAGACCTGTCAGCTTGAGGAGCACTCTGGGCTGTGTGGGGGTGGGGTGGTGCCCCAGAGACCCCCAAGGGGCGGGTGGAGGGGAAAGGATTACAGAGCTAGCCATCCCCCCAGGGGGGTTTTCTCACTCTCTCTGCCTCTCTCCAGGAAGTGCGCATGCCCTATAGCAAATTGAAAGAAAAGGAAAAAGAAGGTTTAATTCGTTTGATTTAAAGGGAGTACTGATTCCCAAGTTTACTCATTTTTGGATAATTCAGTTGTGCTTATCGTTCAAAGGGTGATTGTTTCTCTTGTCATATGTGTTTAGTATTAGCCCTGGATGGAGAAGTGGAGGCAGGCCTTCCTGACTCTGTGTGTGTGTGTGTGTGTGTGTGTGTGTGTGTGATTTTCTGATGTCTCTGTATTCAAGTGTGTACTACGGAAGTGCTCATATAATTTGTTGCTCAGAAGAAATTTAGTTGGCCCAAGGTCTTTCAGTAGAAATGGTAGAATAACTCTTCTGATTTCTAAGCCTGTGCTCAACTGGCTTTTTTTTTTTTTTAAAATTATTGAGCTCTAAATTGTGATTGGATAAAAATGATCTTTTTTCCAGAGGGTTTTTTTTTTTTTTTTTTTTGAGAGGTTTTTACTATAGGGTGTGTGTGCTCGCTGGAAAGATAGAGACAAAGAGATAGAAAGCGAGAAATCACCCCCCATGGGGGATGGCCACGCCACAATCCCTTTTCCTCCATTCTCCTCTCGGGATCTTGGGCCGTGCCCGGCGTGAGTTTAAGCCACTGGGTTCAGGACTTGAACCGCAGTTGACTACATAGGAGTCAAAGCGACACAGCCATTATGCTAATTGCTGGTCCCTGGATATAAATTATCTTGTAGGGGGAAAAAAAAACTTCCAAGAGGAAATTTATACTAAAAGGACCTGATTAAGATGAGTAGGTTTATCTTCTAACAAATGGCACAGTGTGTGGGCACCTAGGAGAGGGCTGGCACGGTCCTCCTGGTCTGCTCTGTCTTCGTTGAAGTCTTCTATCGTTTATTTTGATGGTGACCTTCTCGTGGTCTCTGTCTCCCTCTAGGATGGAAAACCAGGACTGTTTTCATCAGTCGTGCCCTGTCTACTTCTTAGGCCTTAGTTTTTTTTTTCTGTTTTATTTATTATTATTTTCAATTTGCTATAGGCACATGCACTCACCAGAGAAGACAGAGAGAGCGGAGGAGAGTGAGAAGGCAAACTGCTGGGTCTGGGACTTGAACCATGGTCAATCATGTGGGAGTTCAGCACCATAACCACTACATCAACTGTCGGCCCTTTAGGCCTTATTTTAAGGGTTAATATTCTCTGGCCCTGAGATTAAAAATGGTCAACATTCATAAGAGATTTTAATCATTCTTTTATGGCGTTAAATTAATAGAGTACCTTACGGCTGTCACAAGTGAAGGGAGTTCATATCCTAGTAACACTTTCAAAATTAGAATGAAAACAAAAGGATAAAAATAGCCCATTGGTATCTAGCTGGCACTCTGTGGGGTTTGGTGAGGGTTTTGGTGATGCCACAGCTTTGCCAGCAGATGTCCTCTGAAACCGGGAAGGTTGTATCGGGTCGTCGGAAAAGTCTTGACGTATTTTTCTATGGTTTTCTCTGCAAAAAATGCGTCGTGCCCTTTCCGAGAACCGAACGTTTCAGCCGTCCGAATGTACGTAATGTTTTGAGGATAAGCGTTAAAAAACTTTGCTAATTGATTTATATTATTTACTTAAAACCGAAAAGCATGGAAGTCCACATTTATTTATTTGGCTGCGGAAAGAAAGGTACATGTGAGCCCAGGCACTCAGGGCAGGGCTTTCTGGGCACCCTCGATGTTTATGATAGGGTCAAAAATGCCGGAGAAGTTGTATTGTTTAAGAACACTCAGAACTCAAGGTTTTGAATGTGTATTTTATTTGTAATTCACTATAAAGGACTTATTATTGTTATTTTTATTGCCAGAGGGCGTGTGGGCTCTCCAGAGTGTGTGTGCTTGCCAGGATGGGAGAGAGAGAGGAAGGGAGGGAGGGAGGGAGGGAGGGAGGAGGAAGTTCTGCCACTGGGGCGTGGTCACATTTGAGTCCTCGTTCCCACAGTCCTTCTCTGGTCAGGATTTAGGACGTGCACACACATTCTCCTGGAATTGTTTCTTCAGCAGCCGGGACCGGGATTCGAGCCGTGGTTGGCCATGTGAGGTCCAGCCTCCAATGCGTAGCTCCTAACCACTGTGCTGCAGGGCTGGCCCAAGGACTTACATTTCAACATGTCCATCGGCTATTCATCAAGTCTTTTGCTTACAAGTAGAAGGGAAAGTGAGATGAACATGCTGAGAACTAGATAAAGTATTTTGGAAATTTCACTGTGTCGAAAAGAAACAACATCCATTTCATTTTGTCTGAAACATGCATTTTTAATTTCAGAGCAAGTGGAATAAAATCGAAGAAAGAGAAACATAATAGATAACGATTTTAAAAAGAATTATTTTATTTAACTTTATTTGATTTGGCCAGAGAGGGACAGAGTGAGAGAGAGAGAAAGCGAGAAAGCAAGCACCAGGTCCAGGACGCGAACTGTGGTCAGCCATATGGGAGTCCAGCGCCCCTAAGCAGCACGCCATCTGCTGGCCCCATCAATAGGAGTTTATAACTTAAAGTAGAATGCAGTTTATTTCTGGGCCATACTAAGGAAGACTGTACATTTGAGTCTCGGCCACTGAGGTCATTAAAACTGGAGAAATGGCTTCAGTGAAATTTCTATTTTGTTTTATTATTGCTGGAGGGTGTGTGTTTTCGCCAGAGAGAGTTGCCACTGTGGCGTGGCCCTGCTGCAGTCTCTTCTCCGCTTCTCCACCCTGTGAGGATTGTGGGTCCATACACTCTAGTATCCAGCATGTTTTTCTAGCTGCCAGGACCAGGATTCGAACTGCTGTCAGCCACGTGGTATCTGGCTTTCTACGCGCAGTGCTGAACTGCCATGCCCTGGGCCAACCTGAAGTTCTGCGGGGCACCTGTTCATTTCAACCCCCCTGGACTGGTGCTGGGCTTGGGCAGGAGCAGCCAGCTTCGACAGCTCAGAAATGGGGGGGTGCTCCGGCTGCTCCTTCTCTCCTGCAGTTCCTTGTCAGGGCGACCCCGTGGGTGACAGCCCCGTTGAAAAGCTCCCAGGGGGTCCTCCGTTGAGGAGAGCGCAGTTGCCATAGGGCAGGACATTTTGCACTTAGGCCCGAATCCCTGTGTGCGTGTTTGTGGAGGGCGGGGCCGAGGCAGGCACCGGCGTCCTCTGGCAGTTCCGGCATCCGTGGGTCAGGACCCCTCTGCGTAGTGCCGCCAGGGGTTCCTTTTTCTCAGAATGACCTTGGATCATTGAGTTTCCCTTTATAAGGCCTACTAAAATAAAGGCTCTTTGTGAGTTGAAAATTCCCTCTCCCTAAAAGCCTCTTTAAATTTATTACTCAGGAAGCAAACGCTAAGAAAACCGGGTTATTCTGTGAGTGCGCTTCTTATCTACACGTATTTCCATGTGCCTTAGCGAGCGAGCCAGCACGGTGCCAGGGTGTGTTTTTTGCACACGTTTACGGGCCGAGGTGGGTGTCTCCCGACAGAGACCCATGGGAGGCTGCTCTGAGTTGGCAGAAGTCTTAGCGCAGAGAGTTGTTCTTCTGGGTTTGATTTTTTTTTTTTGATTTTGGACCATTGCAGATTAAATGTCTCATTACAAACATGGCTTGATCATTGCTGGTTTTTTTTTTTTACTTTGTAATGAGCATCAACAGCTTTCTATATTTAAAACTGTGTTTGTGGGGGACCAGCAGTTAGTGTAATGGCTACGTTGCTGGACTCCCGTGTAGTCGACCACGGTTTGAGTCCTGGATCCGGTGGCTGAAACTCACGCCAGGCGCATGTGCATGTGTGCCCAAGATGCCGAGAGGAGAATGGAGGAGAAGGGATTGCGGCGTGACCATCCCCCCTGGGGGGTGATTTCTTGCTTTCTGTCGCTCTGGTGAGTGCACGTGCCCCATAGCAAAAACCTCTCCAAAGAAAGAAGAAGAAGAAGAAAAAAAAAACCTATGCTTGTGGGACCAACCAGTGGCATGGTAGTTAAGGCAGTTGGATCCCACATGACTCTCAGCTCAGTTTGAGTCCCGGACCTCGCGGCTTGACAAATACGCCAGGTGCGTGTGCGTGCGTACGTGTGTGCCCAAAATCCCAAGAAGAGAATGCAGGAGAAGGGGTTATGGTGTGGCCATCCCCCCTGGGGGTGATTTCTCACTTTTCCCTCTGTTTCTGTCTCTCCCCTACTAGCACACACAACCTCTAGCCAACTAAAAAAGAAAAAAAGAGAAAAAAATGTTAGAAGGAAGAGACTGCGTGCGTGTGCACACGTGCGTGCGAGAGAGTTGCGTGTAACCGTACTCCAGCCTCTCCGTCACTGCCTGTTCTGTTTTCCCCTAGGTTCCTGGGACACCCCGTGGCGAAGGTCCTTTACGCTTACAACCCGAGTGCGGACAGCGAGGTGGTGGTGACCTCGGTGTCCACAGCTGCTACACACTTTCACGTGCCCCCCGTGCACTGCAGGGTGAGCGGCTGGGCTCCCGGCCCCCCGCCGTGGCAGGCGGCCGGCTTTCCTGCTTCCGTGGGCGCAGGTTTTGCTTTCTGCTCCCGTCTCCCCCTCTTCTGCTACTCAGACTTTTCCTCTTGTGTGTTTGCGCTACCGCAAAGTCCTTCCGGTGTTCCTCTTCATGTTGGTGTGTCTTGATGTCTTCATGGGACAAAGTTGTGAGGATCCTACACTGGGTGGGAATGTATGGATATTTCACTTGGTTTGGTCTAAAGAAAGCGTGTGGTGAGAAAACAAAAAACAAAAAAAGAGGGACCAGCAGATGGCGTAATGGTTACGTCGCTGGACTCCCATGTAGTTGACTGTGGTTTGAGTCCCGGACCCGGCTTAAAATTCATGCTGGGCGCGTGTGCGTGCGTGCCCAAGATCCTGAGAAGGGAATGGAAGAGAAGGGATTGCGGCGTGGTCATCCCCCCTGGGGGGTGATTTCTCGCTTTCTGTCTCTCTGCCTCTCTGTGTCTCTCTGGAGAGTGCACAGCCCTATGGCAAAAAATCTCTCTCAAAAACACAACAAAGTGGAAAGCTTGTGGTATTTGTCCGGAGACCCCCGCGCCCACCGAGGCAGTTAGTAGCTTGCACACATTAGTAGTTGTAGCTGTGCCCTCTTGGCCGATGGGAGCCAATGCGGGACTGGAAGCAGAGTGGCTCCTTGGGAAGTGCATTCGCTCTACCACGGGGCTCCAAACCCTGTTCTCCTAATTGTTTAATTTCAGTGGTCTCTAACTTTTAATGACCATCAGAAACGAGAAGAACAACTTTAATTATGTTCCTATTGATGTGTGCTATGCTTTAAAGAAAATGCCAGAGGGCACGTGCATTAGCGGGAGAGTGACAGAGAGGGGGGAACTGAGGAAGCATCCCGCCACGCACAGTCCCCCTCCTTCCAGGATTTTGGGACGCTCATGCATTCATGCTCAGCGTGTTTCTCAAGCCTCTGGGTCCTGGACTGGACCACAGGGTCGGTCCTGTGGGATCCAGGCCATGGTCTGGCCCTGCACTTTTTTTTTTTTTTAATTGCCAGAAGGAATGCATACTCACTAGAGAGAGAGCAGGAGAGAAAGCCGCCCCCGTAAGGCCTGGTCATGCCACAGCCCTTTCCCTCGACTCCTTCCTCCCATCAGGGTGCTGGGTCTGCCTGCATGTCCATCTAGCTTGTTTTTCAGCACGCGAACCCGGTTGGCCATGCGCAATCCCGCTCCTGGGCTTGGTGCTTAACCACTGCGCTACAGGGCTGGCCCTGCAGGTTTTCTTTCTTTCTTTTTTTGGGGGAAGAATTATTTTATTTAACTTTATTTATTTATTTTAATTTGATCATAGAGAGAGAGAGAAAGAGGGAAAGTGAGAAAGCAAGCCTCCAGGTCTGGGACTCGAACTGTGGTCGGCCCTGTGGGAGTCCAGTGCCCTTAACTACTATGCCACCTGCTGACCCGGCTCTATAGTTTGTTTTCTTTTTCTTTTTTGTCAGTTCATTTCCTCTGTGAGTGAGAGAGACAGAGAGAGTGAGACAGGGAGACAGCCCTGACATTGGTGTTCTAACACCACAGTCCACTCCCACCTCGCCCCACCTAAGGTCATAGGCACACACATGTCCAACTCAAGGAGGAGCCCAGACATGAACTGGAAACATTCCCAGTGGGCCAGCCTTGGAGAATAGTGAGCCTCCATGCAGCCTCCTGATGTTGTGGGCTTTTAAAAGATACTGGAATTGGGACCGGCTGGTGGCGTGGTGGTGAAGGTGCTGGATTCCCATATGGCTGGCTGTGCAGTTCAAATTCTAGACCCAGTTGCTTAAAAATCATTCTGAGTGGGGCCAATAGGTGGCGCGGTGGTTAAGGAAGGCACTGGACTCCCATGTGGCTGACTGTGGTTCGAGTCCTGGGCCTGGAGGCTTGCTTTCTCACTTTCCCTCTCTCTCTCTCTCTGGTCAAATTAGAAAATAATACTAATAAATAAAATTAGAAAGAAAAAAGAGAGAAAATCACGCTGGGCATGTATGCATGTGTGCCTGCTTAAAATCCCAAGAGGAGAATGGAGGAGAAGGGATTGTGATGTGGCCATGTTCCCTGGGGCGTGGGGTGATTCTCATTTTCCCTTATTCTCTCTCCCTCTCTGTCCCTCTCTCTGATGAGCACACATCCTCTATGGCAAAAAAATCTTAAAAAAAAAAAAAAAAGGGAACCAGCAGGTAGCGTAATGGCTATGTCGCTGGATTCCCACGTAGTCGACCGCGGTTCGCGTCCTGGACCTGGTGGCTTAGAACTCACGCCGGGCACATGTGCATGTGTGCCCAAAATCCCAAGAGGAAAATGGAGGAGAAGGGACTGTGATGTGGCCATCCCCCCCCGGGGGGGGTGATTTCTTGCTTTCTGTCTCTCTGTGTCTCTCTGTCTGGCGAGCGCACGTGCCCTATAGCGAAAACCTCTTAAAAAAAAAAAAATGACTGGTTCTAAGAACACACTATGAGAAGGAGCCCGTCTGTGGTTTATGACAGTCCATCCAGGTATTACACGACACGTTTGTGTATTCGTCCTTCTCTTTACAGAGGGAGAGAGGATGTTGTTACGTGAAGTCCACTGAGCAGGTGGGCTTGGAAGAGGAGGGAAGGGACAAAAAAAATGACTGGTTCTAAGAACACGCTATGAGAGGGAGCCCGTCTGTGGTTTATGACAGTCCGTCCAGGTATTACACGACACGTTTGTATATTCGTCCTTCTCTTTACAGAGGGAGAGAGGATGTTGTTACGTGAAGGCCACTGAGCAGGTGGGCGTGGAAGAGGAGGGAAGGGACACGTGTGAGACCCTCCAAGGGGAAAGGACTGGCCAGTCCTGCTGCAGGAGGTGGGAGGTTCTCTGACTGGTTGTTGGAGGCCGATCAGGTTGGGGATTCTCAGGGAGTCGTGACCTGGTAAGTCCAGGGCACGGAGCAGCAAATACAGTCAGTAGGACATCTGCGGAAGAGCTTATCCGGGTGGCCGCTCCAAGGCTAACTCCAGGCCTTTCTTTCAGGTAATCCCAGCCTTGGGGAAGACCTCTTTCCGAATTATTTTCTTGCCTACTGAAGAAGGGAGCATCGAAAGTTCCTTATTTATTAATACCTCTTCCCATGGAGTCCTCTCCTATCATGTAAGTAGCGTGGTCCGTCCTTTCTCCCATTTCAGTTGTTGGCTTAACAGTGAGGTTTGGATATGTTAAATGACTTTTGGTGTAGTGGTTAAGGTGCTGGACTCCCATATGGCTGGCCACAGTTTGAGTCCTGGACCCGGTGGCTTGAAACTCACACCAGGTACGTGTGTGGGGGTGCCCAAGGTCCCAAGAGAATGGAGGAGAAGGGATTGCAGTGTGGCCATTCCCCCATGGAGGATGATTTCTCACTTTCTCTCTGTCTCTACAGTGAGTGCACATAACCTATGGCATAAATCCCTCTTAAAACAAACAGGGAACCAGCAGTTAGTATAATGGCTATGTCGCTGGACTCCCACGTAGTTGACCGTGATTTGCGTCCCAGACCCGGTGGCTTAGAACTCACGCCGGGGCATGTGCGTGTGTGCCCAAGATCCCAAGAGGAGAACGGAGAAGGGATTGCGGCGTGACCATCCCCCCTGGGGGTGATTTCTCGCTTTCTGTCTCTGTGTCTCTCTCCGTCTGTCTGGCGAGCGCACGCGCCTTATAGCGAAGAAACCTCTCAAAAAACAAACAAACAAACAACTAACTTTTGGAAATGTTGCCACCTGGTTCATGTTGTTGAAATACGAGACCCAGTGGCGACAGTGTGGAAGGAGGGTGAGGGGAGGGAAGGGTGTAGGGAGAACAAACAGAGAGGCAAGACGTTTGTGGGACACAGAAATGGTTATTTCCCGTGGATGATCACGTGTGTAGTATTCTCAACTGGCCCGGTCTGAGATGCATTGCATGTTGGGTAAATTCTCTTCACAAGCCAAATGATGTATAATGATCGAATGTTTAAAATACAGAAATACATGCATACATACGAAGCCACAGGTGATACTGTGTTCAACAGCTTTACCATCCTGCCTCACAGACCATGGTTGGCCGCCGTCTGATGACTGTCACCTCCTGTGGATCCTTGAAGGGTTTTAGAACAAAACGAAGACGTGCACCACACACGGTTTTCTAGTGCAAAAGGCAGCAGGCTTTCCAGACTCACACTCTCACCTCGCAGGGTGCTGGGGGCGGGAGGAGGAGAGGTGTGAGGTCCACCTGTAGGGACTTTGCCTGCGCCCCTCCATGGCTCGGGAATACTTCTGATCAGCAGCCATCGATCCCTGCGATCCGTTCCTAGGTCGCTCGCTGGCCCTGTCAGGGCACTGTGGAGGAAGCATGAGCAACCATGTTGGTGTTCACACAAACAGGGGTCTTTGCCATCAGTGGTGGCTGTGACATCTTTTTTATTTTAGATTTTTGCTCTAGGTGTCTCTGGAGAGAGGCAGAGACAGAGAAAATGAGCAGTCACCTCTCCCCCTCCAGGGGGGATGGCCACATTACAATCCCTTCTCCATTCTCCTGGGACCTTGGGCGTGCACACACCAGCATGACTTTCAAGACTCTGTGTCTGAGACTTGAACTGCGATTGGCCCCATGGGAGTCCAGCGGCTTGATCTCCACACCTGCTGGCCCCACCTGTGACATCTTTACTAGGATGTGAGGTCAAGTAATTTAAGTGCCAAGGTCACTTTTTTTTTTTTTCCTAATTTGTGTTAGATTCTACTAAACGTGGGGTCCCATGTCAGAAGAGTTGTCTTGCAAAAATATTTGCCGCAGTGAAGAACTTTCAGCTTAAACCTAACAGCAGTAATTGTGTGTTTTGTAGACCAAGATAAATAGGGTGATGAATACAGATTTCCTCTGGAGAGATGTTTTAGTGTTGTGGCAGCTGTTTCAAACTCGGCCCGCAGAGTAATCAGTAATTCTCTCTTTTCTGACAGGTGTCTGGAATCGGCACTCGTAGAATCTCTACAGAAGGGTCCGCACAGCAGCTACCGAATGCTCATTTCCTGCTTCCACGCGTCCAGAGCATTCAGCTCTCACAAAACCAGGTCAGTGCGCCAGACTTCCTAGGAAGGCTAGCAGTCCCCACGCACTGTGGTCCTCCCCATTCACAGTCCTCGTGCCGAGCCCTTTCACGTAGAATTGGGCTTTACCGTTTCCTGCTTTCTGAGAAAATCCTGAGCTACACATGGAGAATGTGCTGTTGGAATCTGCATCTTTTTTTATTGGTTTGTTTAGGTTTTTGCCATCGGGCATGTGTGGTAGAGAGGGAACATGAGAGATCACCTCCTGGGGGATGTCCATGGCAGTCCCTTCTCTGCTCTCCTCTTCGGGTTTTGGGCATGCACACATGTGCATGTGGGCTCGATTTCCAAGCCTCCAGGTTTGGGACTCGAGGGGCCGGGTGGCCCCCAGGGGGGGCA